TGTTCAACCCACTTCCTTCCCCATTAGTTCCTCTCCCTCTCCCACTCCCCACTATTCTTCATACCAAACATACATTTCAAAAATATTTAAGGAGAGAGGCCAATTTTAAGGCATTTTGGATCATTTTCTGGAAGATTTAATTTCCTCAGGAGTCCCCAGTTAAAAATTCAGAACTATAGATTGTAGTCAGATGTCCTCAGGACACCTCAGGTGTATATAATTCTCAGAGGTTCTACTTGTGTTGGATATATTTGCCATCTTTAACAGGGGCCTGGAAACGCCCAAGATAATTTTTTCTTGTCTTGAATAGGGTCTGCAACAGATTACAGGTTGTAGGGTAATTAATAACTGACTCCAAGTACTGCACTAAACACAATAACCCATGGGATCAACGTTCAATGTCAGTTAAGAAATGGATGAGGCTCACTAGATCATCTTGCCCATCTTCCTGTCATTGCAGAAAATAGTATTTGGATTGTGGAAAGACCAGACATTAAAATATCATATGTTTGTTAAAGAGAAAAAATATATATAAAATATGTATTTTTTAAAATGTACAATAAAGCTTCTATGTGACCAAGCTGCACAGCAATAAGGGTGATCACGCACACACATACCATGATTTTAGCCTCTAGTTTGTCACAACCTGGTGCAATTGATTTGTGCCTGTGGATACGTCTACACAGCAAGTACACACCTGTGTCTGGCCTGGAACAGCCAACTTGGGCTCCCTTTGGGCTGCAGGGCTCTTCCATTGCTGTATAGACATCAAGGCTGGAGCCTTGAGGATCATGTGAGGAAGTTGACACTTTAATGAAAGAGCCCTGCAGCCTACAAACCCAAGACAGAAGGCACAGGCCCACCGTGTGTTTTTCTTTGCTGTGTATCCTGTTTAATGGGAGACTGAAACACAGTCATATCTCCTCCGAAACCCAAACTGCATCTCACATACATTCTTCATACATTACCTGCTGAAAATGAAAGCTGACTTTCAGCTGACATCATGCTGACTTGAAACAGTGACATTGGTGGCCATAGTGCCCAAAGGATAAAAGCTAAATCACAGGGCTGACGAGAGGTAGTTCAGAAGTGCCTCACTGAAACCAGACAAAGCCTCTCTAGGTGACTAAAACATAAAAAGGTGGGGCACGATGACTAGAGTGCAGGGACAGAGTCAAAGGAACTGAGGTTAATAATTTAAAAACAGATGACAGGAAATAATTTCGATATGATTCAAAATCGAAGTGGACAAAGCCAAAAAGACCACTTATATTTTTTAGAGAGCCTGACATGCCTATTAGTTAAATGCCCTAGGGAAAATAAATGTCAAATAAATGTCATGCTGAAAACTATTTTGGAAAAAATACCTGCCCACTGGGATACTTGGGGAAGCAAAAGGAAATAGTTGTAACATGAACAGAAGAACAAAGGGGGAGAGATTAAACAAAATAGGAAATGTTCTACAAAGTAAGAAAACTCCTTCAGTGAAAAAGGAAGCAGAAAGACGATATAAAAAGGAAAGAAATAAAGGGACATAGCTCAAGGCTATGCATATTAAATGAAGAAAGGGAAAATGAAATTAAAAAATTAGAGACGTGAACTTCAGAGCATTCAGTCTGGTGACTTGCGCATCTTGAACTAGACACATGGTAAAATAGCACAGAACTATTGGGTTCAGTGAGGGGACAGTTGGCATAAATCAGAGTAAAGGTCCGGAGTAGGTTGGCAACATGTTTAATGCTTCCATTGATGAGAGGTTCAGAAATGCCTATGAATAATATTAATTAAACAGGATACATGTCTCATCAACCTCAGCACATGCAGAGCACCTAGGAAATCTGCAGTGACAATCCAAGCCCGAGAGCATATTCTACTTTATTCTAATCATCACTGTGGCACATTGTTGAACTAAGACCACACCATACTTTGCTGTCAGTCTTTTGTTGCAATGTAATTGAGTCTCCAAATTTCTACCTCTGTTCAACCTGACTTACCATATTAGACAGCCATCTGAATAATACAGACAAATGTCAAACCCATCTCGCTCGCTCTCTCTCTCCTTTTTTAATATGAGACTGTAGTACTCATAAAAGCGAGGGAGGATCTAACAGTGCTGACCCATCTCAGGCATAGAGCGCTTAACTGTTCAAATCTTCCCTCAGATAATTCTGACAGCGCCTGTTCTCCTGCCTTCCCCACCCTGACCTGCAGCCCCTTGCTTTTCTACTTCTGTGTTCTTTTCTATTTCTGTGTCCTGACAATCAAGCTGATTTGAGTCATAAACTGAAAAATCCCTGACATGGACTAGGTCAAAAGGGATAATCCACTTCCTCTATTTGTAACCTTGGACATAACCTGAACCTAGGCCTTGAGAGATGAAAGATCAGGGCCCATCTAGCCCTGCCATGAGACTATAAACAACCTCCTTTATCCATTTCATTATGATTATTAATATAACTAAGGGGCCCCACACATGGTAGCTTGGGTAGGCTGAACTTTCTGCACATAACAGATGCTCCTGGCATCCTTCCCTCCATGGTCCCACAAGTTGCCTATGGATTATGCTCCCATCCCCCTCTTTTTCTGTGACTCTCCTACCTCCTCTAAATGTGTCTCTCAGCCCTACCAGAGCTCCCCATATCACCACCTGTATACCCTGTTCCCACTTGCCCAATTCCAGGGTTCCCAGACCAGGTCTACACCATACCCTGTAGCTCCGCTTAAGGCACGCAACTTCAGCTATGTAGAATACATATCTGGAGTCAGCTTACTTTAAGCTGAGCCTGGAAACATCCCGCAGCAGGAGGCTGATGGGACCAGTCACTCCCGTTGCCTTCCCTTACTCCTGAGCAAGAGCAGGAGTACCGGATGGGGCATCCTCTAAGTTCAATTTAGCGAGTCTTAACTAGACTCGCTAAATCAAACTTGGAAGACCCATCGCGGCAGAGTTAATCTATCACGGAGTGAAGACGTGGCCCCAGTCTCTTCTTTTCCCCCGTACTAAGGTCCCCCAATATTTCCCCCTTTGCTGTCACATTTTGGGGTTCACCCATGCCAGTAAAGGTTTCCGTCAGCACCTGCTCCACATCACTGGGGTCTTACTGCTCTGCTGCTGAGCCCTGAAGCAAGGAGCCACCCCACGAGTAGAAAGGTTTCACCACAGATTCCATCAGCCTAATGACTCCTTGCTGAGTGGCCCCCACAGCCTTTCAGGTCCCAAGCACAGCTCTATACCCACACAAACACATGATCTCATCCTGCCAATCAAGTCCAGGACATTACTAGCTTTTATAAGAAGACTGCACTTGGCACATTTTATACACCACACCACTGTTTTCAACCAGTTGATTCAATTATTTATGCTTTGGAGTTCAGATCTCTGCTCTCCCCATGCATTGTCTGGACCTTGACTGTCACTGTGACACCACAGGTTGTGTGTGTCCCAATTCCATCCTTTATGCAGTCCAGGCTCCTCCAGTCTCTTTGTGCCCCCCATTCCACTCTAGTGCCCCAGGATGCCCCATTCTTCCATGGGAGGGGATCTGTGGGAACCCTAATTCACCCCTGCCCCATGCCAGAAGCTCTGATTGCCCCTCTCCCCTGCTTCCCATCATGCTAGGGGTTCTGTATGCCTCATTCCACCTGTATTAGGAACCCTTAGTCTGGACCCCTGCTGTGTGCATGTTCCTCTATGATAACTTCCCACTCCCCCTTTCTGCCCCACCCCAACCAGTCTTCTTTATTGCTGGGAGATCAGTCATACAGGGCCATCAGCACTTTAAACTCCCCTGAAAGGAGGACCCGGGATGAGACAGGGAATTGTTTTGCTAAAAGGTATTAATACGCGCCACTGACCAGCTGTTTGGTCCTAGACAACTGCAGAGGCTCTTGAGGAAACAGCAGTGATAGTTTGCTGGGAGATGTTTTGCATGTTTCCTGCTTTGCCTCTTCTGATGCTCTGATTTTCCCTCCCCCCCATCCCCCGCCCAGCACCAAAGTAGTAAAGTTCGGCTACAGATGCCTAGGGCATTCCTTGAAATTTGGAACTGATCATACGCAGCATCTTATAACGATCATGTTATGTAGAGAGAGTCCAATGGATAAATGCCCTAGAGGGGAGCATGCAGCCTTTACAAACTCAGCCGGTGCCTAGAGATCCTTCATGATAATGCAGTCCCTGCCCTTAGATAAGTCAGACAAATGGAATTTTATTCCTCCCATTCGATGGACGGGAGCCTGAGATGCAGAGATTAAACAACTTGTTCAGGGTCACACAGGAGGTCTACGATTGAGCTAGGAATTGATCTGAGGTGTTACGATTCCCTGTCCAGGGCCTTAACTCTATGGCTGTCCCTTCTCATAGACCAGTGATTTAACCATTTTTTCCTTTGCAGACCCCCAAAAAATTTTGACTGGACGTGAGGACCTCTTTGAAAATCTTAGTCTGTAAACCACAGATTTAAAATCACTCTTTAGACTATCCTTCTACAGGTTGGACCTCCCTGGTCCGGAATCCTCAAGACCCAAATGAAAGAATTTGCTGGACCCGGGCAGGTCCCCTACCATTGGCTCCCAAATCTGCCACCTGCTGCCAGCTCGCTACTGCCCCAGACAGTCCCTATTTCCACCTCCCTCCCAGCCCTCCCACTAGCCCAGCTGCCAATTCCCTCTTCTGGCTGGGCCACAGTGGGCCAGCCTGGACCTGTGCTCCCGGGAGCCACTGTGGGGCCCACACTGCCTGTAGCCGGAGTGCTGGATCTGATGCCCCCGATCCCGGCTGGCCCTCCTGCCATTAGGCTACCATCCTCTCGGATCCAAGAGTATCCATGGTCTGTTGCCGGACCAGAGCGTGCTGGTTTTCAGAGGTGCAACCTGTAGTAAGTTATCCTCTAGTGTACACAAGATCATTTATATTTATTCAGCATAGTACTGATTTTTGATAGACAAATGACTTATATGCCTGCATTAGGAAACATCCTGCACTAAGACAATTATTTTACCTTTGGATCAGCAGTGAGCAATTTGAAAGCCTGGTAGACTTGTGCTTCCTTCACACCTCCACCAAGATCCAGGAAGTTGGCCGGCCTTCCACCATTAAGGGAAATTATATCACAAGTTGCCATAGCAAGACCAGCTCCATTCACTGTAATTGCAAGAATCAAATGCAGATATATTACAAAGGGAAATTCAGATGTGTGCAACACTAGCCCAAGGGAAGGACTAATCCTAAAATTTCACTTATTTCAACTCAGGCCAGCACCGGAAGGTTTAAGAGTAGCTTAGTAGATACAAATGACCAAAATGGTCATATGTAGGGTGCCCAAAGAAAAGGGATTTCATAATAATTAAAGAGGATTACTCACCACACACGTAATTGCACATAAATACCCCCCTCAGAGTAAAGGACAAAAATTCTTCTTAACCCATCTGGAACCCAAGAGAAAGTATCCTTCACTTATTACTGATCCCTTAATTCTTCTGCCACACTTACAAACCATGTCTAATTTCATTAATTTCCGTAAGACTCATACTGCATTACAAAATGTTTTAAAACTGAATATTCATTTTAACAATTTGGTTCAAATCATGAAAATTCTTACACAATGTTCAAAAAGTCTAATGCTTCCTTTTATTAACATGTGTTTTGACACACTGGCATCCCATATCCTTTGCTACTTTAAATGCTGCTAGTGTTGCAAGTACATTAGCTCATCCGGGTGAGATGAATGAGAATGGTTTGGTACATTAAAGTTATTGCTTCTGAACAAAGTAAACCTTTTTATAGCACATGTGATTTTATGCTGGTTTCTATTGTTTGAACAGAACCATAACGATGAGGTCTCACTCAGGCACTGCATACGAAGATACTGATGGTTTAATGAGCTACACATTTTTTTAATGTCAGTTCCTTTAAAAGATTAAGACCAATGTAATGAACTGATTCTACTACAAGCTGAGGCTCTTTCAAGTAAGTGGAAAGAGCATAAATCTAAGCACTATAAACTGTGGGCAGTAACAAAACGTACGTTACCAGCATCGGTGGTTGAGTGCAACTGGTGCTGGGGGAGGCAGGCCCCCAGCCCCAGCTACAGCCCTGCCCCCTCTGCTGAGGCCCACCCCCATGGGCATGCCCCACCCCAGGGGAGGAAACAGGGCAGAGCGCCAAGCATGTCCTAGCCTCCCCGGAGCACCGGGGAGGGGCAGAGAGGCAAGGGGAGCACCAGGGACGGGAGGACCAGGGAGGTGTGCCGAAAACTCCCCGGCTTCCCCAGAACACCGGGGAGTGGCAGAGAGGTGAGGGGAGGACTGAGGAGCACTGGGGAGGGGAGGAGGCAGGGTAGTGTGCTGAACACTCTCCGGCTTTCCCGGAGTACCGGGGAGGGGCAGAGATGCATTCTGGGGGCAGTCTGTGAGCAGGGCCAAGATGGTGGTTTGGGAAGGCAGAGCCTTCCCATGCTTAAGCCACTGGATGTCCATGGTTACCACCACAGACCACTCCTCCTCCTCTGGAAGATAAATCATTTAGCTAATTTGGATCAAAAGTATAAAGTCATTTCTTTTTATAATAAAAAGTTCTGGCTTAAACAATTTACATGGAACTGAACACATTTTATGTCATGATTTAAATATTTCTTCTGTTTTACTTAACTGAAATTCCTTTTTTCATAGATCAAAGTTTTCAGCATTTACCAATTACTGTTTGTTAAAAGAAATACTGAAATGTCAAGAGCCAAATTTACATTGTGAGAAACCAAAGTTTAAATCCAATTTGATTTTATTCTTAAACAATAAATTAAAATATGCATATGTTTGGATTGAATGCCTTTCTAATAGTACTTTCTGATTTTTTTTAAAAAATGTCTGCACCCATTGTTATTATTTAGAAGGCTTATCTGGACAACCGACAATAGCAGCACTAAACATGCACAGGTTTACATTTCAACCTTACCTCTTTTAAAACTTATTAACTTTAACATTTAATACTTCAGCATGCTGCCCCTTCAATTTCAGCTTCCCATTTGCTCTTGCTAATACTGGCATTAGATACTACTCAGGTTGAACTTCTCTAGTTCCGCACACTCTGGTCTGGCAACATTCGTAGTCGGCATGATTTTACTTATCTAGATGTCCACTTATCGTGGGTGTAGCCATGTTTCCCATGGTCCCATAAAGTTTGTTCACAGCCACCAGCCCTGGCTCTCAGTGTTCTGTGCTGTTGTCTAGCTCTAATTTACCCCTAAATGTCTTCTAAGAGCCCAGTAAGCAGTGGAAGGTTTGGTAATGCAGCTAGACAATATTGACCGCCTGTGGTTCGGCAAATTCTCTGGTTCTTCACCAACAGGTCCCGAGGGTGCCAGACATAAGAGGTTCAACTTATATTACCTTCTAACAAAATTTGGGGAAGGGCAGGAAATATCAGCAAAACAATAAAAAGGACTATTCATGCAAAGTGCTTGTCAAAGAGTAGAATGAAAATCAGAATCAAGTGAATTTCACAAAGTATATATTGACCTTTAATTTCTTTCTGTCAGAGTAATACGCACTATATGACTAACAACTGACCAGTAAAAGAACAATCTTATGGGTCACTGGTAACAATACAGAGTCATCAAATAGAAATGTGGTTTTCAAGTTGGTGGGGGTAGTTTTATAAGGTCAGTGGTAATAAAATACAACCAGACCCTGAAAACACTTAGGACTGTGAATAATTTTATGTACTTAGATTATTACTCTGTTGTAATATTTCTGACAATATTCTCTGTAACTAAATATTAGTCAGTTAACACTGAAAGTTCTGAATTATTAATTGGTTACACTAGATACCAATAAAGACAGATTGCTTTTCTTACCAAAGCAAGCAATGTTTCCATCCAGTCCTATGTACTTTAAGTCATATTTGGCAGCTTCATTTTCTATTGGCTCGTTCTCAGATTTGTCATCCATGGCAAATATCTCTTTTTGCCTGAACTCGGCATTGTCATCAAAGTTTATCTTGGCATCAAAGCAAACAACTAAATGAAGGGGGAGAAAAAATCAAATTACAGATACTGACTCGTCATTCACAAATTCTCCATAGCATATACAAGTGCAATATTCTTTCCTAATTATGTACTAAAGCTCTGATTCTGCTCTATAAAAATCAATAAAAGTTTTGGAAAGCAGGACTAGGTCCCTAAAACACATTTTTCCAAAGGCCAGGCTTGGGTAATGATTATGCAAATTTCCCCAAACAATACTGTCAAAGTGTCATAATTTATGGGCTGGGGAAATCCACTAGTAGAGGCAGGAAATCCACTAGTAGAGGCACGTTTCATGCTTGTTTTAACTGCCCCATCCATGGTGTCAGTTATGATGGCTGTTTTCATAATCTTAATAGTTGTAGCTATGCCAATCATTTGACTCATTAGGAAGGCTACAATTATGTCATGTAGGTTCTCCTTTGAGACATTTTCTGTTCCAGGGTTGGCACTCCCAGCCAGCTCTACCCCTACAGCCCCCAGCTCCTGGCCTGGTAGGGACCCACAACTGCACAGCCATGGCAGGCAGCTGCCCAGCCCTGTGACCAAGGGACTCAGGAGTTTGCACACACTGCACTAGTGGGGGACCTGGGAACCCATGTATCCCATTTATCAGGGACAGTTTTACTGAAGGTCAGGGACAGGTCACGGGCTTCTGTGAATTTTTATTTCTTGCCTCGGATCCATCCATGACTTTTACTAAAAATATCTATGACAAAAATGTCATCTTAACCATCTTGTATGTCCTCCAACCTCAACAATGTGTTACAACAGTTGGAAAAGATCAGGATGGATTTAAAGTCAAAAGAATATTAGATAGATAGATAGATAGATAGATAGATAGATAGATAGATAGATAGATAGATAGATAGATAGATAGATAGATAGATAGATAGATAGGAATTGAAGTCAAATGAATACACCCCCCCGCTAGATTTAGCATACTACACATTAAGTTCCATAGGAGATAAACATTTTCTCCAGTTATATTCTTTATTTTTTAGTTTATTTGGTTCCTTGCAAATTCTTCCTTTAAAGAAATTAACAACAGCTTTAAGTATACATTGAGCATGATCAACACAACTTTTGATAAATTAAGAAAATGGGAAAGTAAATATAGAGCTTGCCTTCAACTTGAACAGTTGTTATGGTTGTAAGAAGCAACTAAGCAGGACAACTGTTAATAAAAGTTATGGGCTATTTTAATCCTGAAGATTAAAAGTGAGTTTACTATGAATGGATAAGAATTTAATACTGATTTCTTTTATGAATTTTGCAAATGCAAACATCTTAATATATTTAAAATGTCATAATAAAAATAAGACTACATACAGATTACTTTATTCTTTAAGCACTAATGACTTCTGGTTGGATGCTTCCTGCAAATTAATGACTGGCTAGAGCAACTAATGTTTTGTGGCAAGCCAACCAGACTAACTGCATGGAAACCATTGTTGTTGTTATTGTTGTTATTATTATTATTATTATTAAAAACTAATAGCATTGTTTGTATGTATGTATTTTGTCTTGAGCTGCAGACACACAAACATACACATGGAGCAAACAAAAGAGAATATAATTCAGGAAAGTATTAATCTTACTGTCTGATGGAATAGTTTTGTTTTAATTTTTTTTTAAATCAAAGAATTTGCTACACTTGACTCACAATCAATACTAGAATAAATGACAATTGATCAAGACCAGTCTCAGCTACTATAGTTTTGGAGAGCTATTTATAAGTGCACATATGTAATAAATATCCCATGGAAGAGTCTAGATCTTATCCTATTAATACAAATTATGGAAATATATTATGTGGGAATCTGCCAGAATAAGAAATATGTGAAGTTAATAATATGCTTTTCCAGTGTACCACTAATGAGCTCTTTTTTGTTAACAATGAATTAGGGCGTATAACAACATCAGAACCATAACACCAATTCCCCTTTTAAAACATTAGAAGATTTAATTAATAAAGTGACCCAGAACTAGACTAAAATGCAGCATTCAGAGGCTTTGGTTTTCCATTCTCAGTTTACTTTAGATATCAACATTTTCACATTAATGGAATCTTATTTCTGTGGAACACTCATTTATCAAAAGGCCACACCACATGCAAAGTAGTAGAAAAAATATCTATTAATATTTATCAAACAATTTGCACCATCAAAAGTACATTGTTACATGGATGATAGATTATACAAATGAATTTTCCTTCTGAACAAATATCAAAGAAAGCTTCAATAGTTATATTCACAGAGAGTTTTTGTTGTTTTTCTTAGTAATAAAAGATTTTGGGAGCTGCTAATTCAAACCACTTATGCCAAGAACAAAAATAAATAAATATTGACAGTTGTAGGTTTTTGACCCAAGAGTGTTAACAAAGGAACATGATATAAAATGAGACAAAAGGAAACACACAGGACAACGTGTTTCATAACGGAAATTCACACATATGTGAAAAATAAAAGCAGCAAGTAATAAGCCCAGCTTAGTTGTCATTTTGACAAGAACAAACTCTCTTTGTGTGCTGTGCTGAATTTTGCCAGGATAAATAATTGCAACAATATGCCTAGGCGCACAGGTTTGTTTTTTAAAGTGTTTAAAGGCTGAAATACAGTAATTCCTCATTTAACACTATAGATGCATTTCTGAAAATGTTCATGCTAAGCGAAAACGGGCTATGCGGGGTCAATTTTCCCATTCAAAATAATAGAAAAGGTGGGGGTTGCATTTCAGGTGATGGTGGCAAAGTCAATTTTTTGTTGGTGCTGGGTCATCAACATCAACGTTAGAGATCTAGCGACACAAGATAATTAGCAACACAAGACGTCGCGGATGATAAAACACAAAGATAAACACGTGAGTGAGCAAAGAAGCGCTGTGCCCATGTGTTCATCCGCTCATGCGTATTACCACTGTTTTCACCAACTTATACCGCCGCGTGAAGTAGTCTGCCACTTGATTATTTTCGTGTTATTTCGGGGATGGTCGTGTTATTCAAAAAACTCTCCCTAAAAAAATCGTGCTATTGCGAAAATGTGTTAAGCAGGCACGTGTTAAACGAGTAATTACTGTACTGCGGGCATCCTCTGGCCATGCACAAAGCTGAAAATGGGCAGAGGGAGAATTCCATGCATCTCTGCCAGTCAGGCAGTTCCCGCAGGCTCTCTGCTCCTGCTCCCCTCCTATGCTCACGAGAGGAAGACGAGTGGGGAAAGACTATGGAGAAAGTGGTGTGGCAACTGCAACTATCCTTCAGAAAATTCTCTGTTTGGCGTCCTCGGTCATACCTGGAAAGCTCCGCTTCTGCTCCAGTTACATCCAGGGAGGAGCGGAGATAGGGGGCTCTGGCCATTGCCACAATAGCAACAGTGGAGGCCAGAGCTCTTGGCCCTTTAAACTGCTATTGGAGTACTTGGCAAGGGCTGGCGGGGACATAGTGCTCCAAGCAGGAGGGCCAGCTGCCCTTGGCCCCACCCCTTCTGCCCCATCCCTCCTGGAGCAAGGAGTTGGCTCCCTTGATCTTGTCTAGGGGCCCACGGAAGCTGCTGGCCCTGCTGGCTACATCAGCTCACCTCCTCCCACCACTCCCATGCATCTCATCAGCATTAAGTACTGATCTGGCTCCCCAACAATATCCCAGCTGCAGAGCATGATTTGTTCATGAGCATCAATACTGCTCTTACTCATTGCTCAACTTTCCAATGCTCCTCTACCCACACCAGTACCTACATGAAATCTAGAAGCCTCTGTTCATTGGCTGAGCTTTAGTCAGAGGGCGGGGCTATCAGGAAGGTCAGGGCCTTATAAAGCAGTGAGTCAGCAACCGGGGCAGCAAACAAGGAGTTTTGAGAGGGAATTTGGAAGGGGAGTGGGAAGGGGCTGAGGTATACTTGCCATTCTTTACAGTTTAGTTTACAGGTTTTAATCAAAACTTCCTGATATAACTAAAAACCCTATCAATAATCTAGGTAGCTGAAGGAGGGAATGCTGGCAGATGCCCAGCAGCAGAGTAGGGGCTATCCTGTTTATTGCGCTCAGTGTAGCATGTATGATTACCTGCCCTGTGAGCTGGTGGCGTATGTGTGCATTCGGTGCAAGGAGCTCCTGGCCCTCAGAGACCACGTATGGGCCTTGGAGGCCAGGGTGTCTGAACTGGAGAAGCTGAGGGAGGCAGAGAGGTATGCTGATGAGGCTTTCCGGGACACTGTAGAATTGTCCCACCTCTGGTCAGATAGCCCCGGCGCTATTAAGGAAGATGAAAGACTCAGGGAAGGAGAACAGTCAACAGGAGCAGGGAGAAACCTTCCCATAGTTGGGACCCTCCTTCTAGATGTTGGGGTATCCTCTTGCACTGAGTTACCTCTCCTGGAGAGGGAACTCCAGTCATTAGGAAAACGCAGGTGTTAGTAATGGGAGATTCGATCATTAGAAATGTAGATAGCTGGGTTTGTGATGACCGGGAGAAACATATGGTGACTTGCCTGCCTGGTGTGAAGGCTGCAGATCTCTCAAGGCATCTAGATAGACTTATGTGTAGTGCTGGGGAGGAGCTGGTGGTTGTGGTACATGTAGGTACCAATGACATAGGGAAGGGTAGCAGAGACGTCCTGGAGGTCAAATTTAGGCTGCTAGGAAAGAGACTGAAATCCAGGACCTCTATGGTGGCATTCTCAGAAATGCTTCCAGTTCCACGCACAGGGCCAGGTAGACAGGCAGAGCTTCAGCGTCTCAATGCGTGGATGAGACAATGGTGTTGAGAAGAGGGGTTTAAATTTATAATGAACTGGGGAAACTTTTGGGGCAGGAGGAGCCTACGTAGGAAGGATGGGCTCCATCTAAACCAAAGTGGATCCAAACTGCTGGCACTTAATATTTAAAAACTGCTCTGCGACCTTTTTAACTAAGAGATGGGGAAAAGCCGATTGGTGAAGAGGAGCACGTGGATCAGACAGAGACATCTCCTAGAAGAGAGTCTATTGATAGAGAGG